CGACGGACACAGTCGTGTCGAGTACGTCGAGCGACTCGTGGTAGGCCTAGGACGAGTTCGTGCCGAGCGCGAGAATAGCAACAATCCTCTGGAGAAGGATGCCCCTCAGTTTTGCCAGGTCAGCTAGTCGTCCTCCCACGCAGGATCTTCATCGCGGATTGGTCCATCTCGTATCCGGTCTCTTATGCGGTCTCCAAGACCATCTGGTGCAAGATGAAGGATTCCGAAGACGGCTCTTCTAGATTTGTTGTGGATGGTTGTGTCGTAATCTTCTTGGCCCTAAGCTCAAGATCGCGTCACTTTCGAATATCCTCCCGAGAAACGCAATGGCCACGGTTCCGTCCACAATGCGCGCCTTGATGCTCGTCGAGCGCGTCAAGAGCTTCACCCAGCCCGACCTCGCTTCGTGCTTTGAGGTCCAAAAACGTCCGTGCCCGTACTCGGCGCCGACCAGGTGCTCGTCAAGGTCGCTTGCAGCCCCATCAACCCGTCCAACCTCTCACAGCTCCAAGGTCTGTACGATAACTTTGGTCAGATGCCGCTCCCGCAGGTCACGGGCGGCGAGGGCTCTGGCACCGTCGTCGCGGCCGGTGACAGCGCCTACGCCCAGTCGCTCATCGGCAAGCGCGTCGGCACGGTCGCCAACCCCGCTGGCATGTGGGCCGAGTACGTTGCTGTCTCGGCCGCCTCGTGCATCCCGCTGACGCCCGAGACGACGTTCGAAGATGGCGCGTCGTGCTTTGTGAACCCGCTCACGGTCGTCGCGTTTGTCGAGACGGCCCTCGCCAAGAACGTCAAGACCATCGTGCACACGGCCGGTGCCTCGGCCCTCGGCAAGATGCTCGTGCGCCACGCCAAGGAGCACGGCGTCAACGTTATCGCCGTCGTCCGTCGCCAGGAACAGGCCGACACGCTCAAGGACATTGGCGCCGAGTACATTGTCGACACGTCCAACGCCGACTGGGTCGCGCAGCTCGAGAAGCTCGCGACGGAGCTCGGCGCCACGATCGGATTTGACGCTGTGGGCGGTGCGACGTCGGGCGCAGTGCTCTCGGCCATGCCGGCCAACTCGGAGCTCTTCGTGTATGGTGCTCTCTCGGGCGAAGGCGTCAAGGGCGTGAGCCCGCGCGACTTGATTTTCCTCAACAAGAAGGTGTCGGGCTTCTGGCTCGTCACGTACCTCGGCCAGCGCGGCGCCGGCATGGTTGAGATGGTCGGCAAGGTCGCGAACGCGCTCACCAGCACGTTCCAGACCAAGATTCGTGTCTCGTACCCGCTCGAGGAGGCTGCGGCGGCGTTCCAGGACTACTCGGCCAACATGAGCAACGACAAGGTTGCGTTCAAGCCTTTCAACTAGGCGAGATTGCCTGTGTAATGGTTTCATCAATAATATTAGAAAAACTTTTTCCTGCGCTTGGTCTCGTCGGTGGTCTTTCTGCGCTTGTTATTTTGGAGTAGATTATCCTAAAGTCCCTCGGCTTTGTGAACATGCTTGTATCGCGCTGGTTTCTCACGTCGAGTGACATCATAATGTCCAACGTGGCTTTAAACGTGCTTCAAATGTGTCCCTCGAACCTGGTAGGCTCCGCGTGCCGACTTGGCTTGCGCGCTCGCCCGCGACAAAGTTCTCTTGCTGCGCGAGCACCGCGGTCACTTCTGCACTGTAGCTATCACAATCGGTGCCGTCGGTATGCGAAACCTTGTCCGGCGGACCAAGTCGAGCTTTTTCTTGTAGGGTCGACTGCTGTCACTGTACTAGAGCTCACTGGAGCTCGAGCTATCGTCACCACCCGGGGCACTTGCCGGTTCATCCGAGCTTCTTCAGCTGCTCACCGCACACCGCAAGCCGACTGCAGCAACGAACGTGGCCGACCTCGGCGTCCTCATGAGCGCGCAGTTCCTGCCGCTTGTTATCGCCTATTAGTACCAAGTGGGCTTTACCCAAGACATCCGCATCCTCACGCGCCTCGGCCACACCCCGTCGCTGCTCCCAGAAATATGAGTCATCTGCACTTTCTTCTCTAATGGACCACTACGGTCCGTGAACTTCTCATCGTCACTGGTGCGCGTTTGGTGGTCTTTTCAGCTTTGTTGGTCTTGACGCCCTCCTGACGGTCATTGGTCAATAAAAGTTTCCTCAAGCAGAGCGTTAACGACACCCATGAGTCTCCGCCCTTTTCGAGTGGACTCATCGCTCATCGACGAAGAGAATCTATGCGCACAGGTCTAGACGCCGCTTGGAAAGACACGGCAAGCTGCAGGCACCTGGGCATTAAGTACTCGCGAGGGCACACCATACTCGGTGGTAGTAACTTCGGCGCCAACGGCGTACGAGGCGGGTGATGCGGACTTTCACCAGTAGCAACACCACTGGCACACAAGCCATTTACGACATACTTATATATTGATGACACCATTACACAGGCAATCTCGCCTAGTTGAAAGGCTTGAACGCAACCTTGTCGTTGCTCATGTTGGCCGAGTAGTCCTGGAACGCCGCCGCAGCCTCCTCGAGCGGGTACGAGACACGAATCTTGGTCTGGAACGTGCTGGTGAGCGCGTTCGCGACCTTGCCGACCATCTCAACCATGCCGGCGCCGCGCTGGCCGAGGTACGTGACGAGCCAGAAGCCCGACACCTTCTTGTTGAGGAAAATCAAGTCGCGCGGGCTCACGCCCTTGACGCCTTCGCCCGAGAGAGCACCATACACGAAGAGCTCCGAGTTGGCCGGCATGGCCGAGAGCACTGCGCCCGACGTCGCACCGCCCACAGCGTCAAATCCGATCGTGGCGCCGAGCTCCGTCGCGAGCTTCTCCAGCTGCGCGACCCAGTCGGCGTTGGACGTGTCGACAATGTACTCGGCGCCAATGTCCTTGAGCGTGTCGG